GCAAAGGCTGATTAGAAACGCCTGGAGGAGAGCTCTTCCTAGTCCTCTGCCAGCCTGTGTGCTCTTAGCGGCCACCTGGGAGCTGAGGCACCAGTCTACAAGTCCCCACATTGAGGAGCCAAGGTTTATTAGCTATAGAATGCCATGTGGTTCAATTACCAAAGCCTGTAACTTTTAGGACCATTCTTTCTATTACCTATTGCAAAGAAATGGAAGAAAAGCAAACTTCATTAAGCCAGGGTAAAACAGTGACTCAAGGTGACTGCTGACTCTTCACTTAAGCTGTGACACAGGTGGAAAAGAGATCCTGGTGATGAGCACTGAGGTCTACCTTAAGGTATGCGGCTACATCACCGTCAAGGACAGCAGGGATGGCATCTGTGACCCAGGCAGCGTTTCCTTCCTGCACCACAGGACTGCTTCACCACCGTGCTCTTCACACTACTTAACGACACTCTGCACTGGGATGCCCATTAAAAACCATCACTGGCATGCAGCAGTCTGCCTCACAATGCCAAGCTGACCTCGGGAACAACTTCCGAATCACTAGGGGTCCACCAGGACCATTAAGGATGCGGGAAGGCAGAGGACTTCATACTTCTACACCTCACTGTGGCTCACAAAACACATTGTCTCCAGTGAACTTCACAGGGTCTGCACCAGCCCTGTTCTTCATGACAAGGCCATTTGGACAGTCCTGCTGGAACTAACTGGTTTTCCTGTACACACACCTGTTAGAAAAACTGAGGATATGGCTGAAATGAGGGCCATAGAAAACCCTCTGGGAAATAACAATCACATATACCATTTCAAGGCCTAGGTGGTAAGAGCCCATAAAAGTCATGTCATTTAAATGGCATTATTTGAATTTCAAAACCACTCACTCCTAGGGCTCCTGGAATTCTCTGGATTGGTGAGTTACTACATAAAGGAATGAAGTATGTGAACTATGCATGTCTAAGACACCAAAGCTGGGGGGGGGGGGGGGGGGGGGGGGGGGGGGAGTCCGCAGACGACTGTCCAGGGTCTGCCCCTTCCTAGCTGTACAGTCTTGATCGCCCTGGCTTCAAGGAGGAAGGACCCGGCTCCATCGTAAGGCTGCTGCGAGGATGCTGGGTACGTGCCAACAGATGGAAAGAAGTCAACGCCCTATCCTTCGGCCCGTGTCCTGAGGAAGTGGATACAGACGCACTCCTCCTCCTGCAGGCTCTCCACTCTGCATCTTGTAGGCGCCTCAGTCATGCTTGCTGCTCACCTGTCACACCAGTCAGTCAAGAATACCCAGCACCCCTGCGTACTAGGTCCTCTTCTAGGCACTGGGCTCTATCCCAGGAGCTTTCTGACCTGCAGGCAGGCCATCAACAGGCCAAAGCAGCTCCCTTCTCTGAAGCCCACCCCAGGAAATACACGTGAAGGCACTCTGAAGACCCCAGAGAACAGCATCCCAGGTTGCTGCCTCCAGCATGCTCGGGTTGCAATCTGAGGATGCTTGTACAAGTTCTAAGGGTGTGGTGAGGCTCCAGCTATGTCTGGATTCTCTATGGAACAAACGTATTGGTTAAAGTTCCAGACGGTCTTTTTAAATCCTTTGCTACAACATGGAGGTGCTTCTTTACAAACAACAGTGTCTGTGAAACAGTGATACGTCCTACCAGAAAGTGTTCTTCTTCTTCTTCCTGAGCACAGGCCCTACTGGGTCTACCGACATGACAAATGGTGGAGAAATGTTTTGCTTTAGAAACTGGAGTTGTGAAGAAAATGTTAAGCACGTGTCTGTGGCCATAAATTATTGTCATTATTAGTAACTAAACTGATAAGTAGCAGTTCATAAATTACTTCGTGCTAAATGCCGTGTGAACATTTCACTGAATCCTGGCAGCAAGCCCAGGCAGCCCTGCTTTAGGGGTTAGACTTGTCTACAGAGCACACACTCTTGCAACCACACTGCGCTACACAACAGAAACACTGTAATTATTCCTGTCCTCATCAACTCACTTTCAAGAAAACTGGTAAATGAAAGGACTCTAAAATATACCCCATCTTTGTAATACAAGTGGCTTTAGAAAAGCTACTGCATTAGTGCTCATAATTCAGATTTCTCTTAAAAATATTAGATTTCTTCCTAAAGTATTGATCGTCGACACATACAGAGAAGCAGAATTAAAATGGAAGACCAGGAGTTTACTCACTTAGAAGCATTAATGGTACAGTCCCCTGCAGACACTTTCATGTTACTGTGCACTACAAAACTTCGCTTGTGGTGACATTTCCCCGCCCCCTGAGCACTGAATCAGGGTCTCTGCAGACCAAAGAAACATCCTCCTCCTGAGTTACAACTCTAGTCTTTGGTGACTAGTCTTAAACATTCTGCCAAAGGCAACAACTAAACTGAAGTCTCTTCAGTTAATAGACAAAAAGTAATAGTCTGCTGTGGGATGGTCTGTATGTCAAGTGTGTTGCTGATTGGTCAATAAATAAATCACTGATTGGCCAGTGGCTAGGCAGGAAGTGTAGGTGGGACAAGGAGGAGAATAAAGCTGGGAAGTGGAAGGCTGAGTCAGAGACACTGCCAGCCGCCACGATGACAAACAGCATGTGAAGATGCCGGTAAGCCACGAGCCATGTGGCAAGGTATAGATTTATAGAAATAGATTAATTTAAGCTGTAAGAACAGTTAGCAAGAAGGCTGCCACGGCCATACAGTTTGTAACCAATATAAGTCTCTGTTTACTTGGTCGGGTTTGAGCGACTGTGGGACTGGCAGGTAAGAGAGATTTGTCCTGACTGTGGGCCAGGCAGGAAAACTCTAGCTACAATAGTCAGTTCTGAATCTGTGGCAAAATTATAGTTATACATTTTCATTATTTTCCCCAAATTTCCAACTTTGCAAAAAAAAAAAAAAAAACTGGCCAAAAACCATTATCTCAGTGGTATGAGCCCCAGAGTAGACAGGCCATCAAACAATTAAAAAGCTCGTAGAGAAAATAGAAGGCCGCTGCAGATCCTGAAGTTTTAAAACTAAACTTTCCAGTGTTTTCTTATGTGACATTTGTGTCACCCATCAATCTAGGAACCTATGTGCACTGTTCAGTGTGTTTTCTAAATCTACATGAACCCACTACCAACAATATTTTAGCGTAAACAGCAGTGTGGAAAGGCAGGGGTGAGAAGGAGAAGTTAAGCTGTGTATTTTGAAGACCAAGGAACCATTCAGTCACTGAAGACTAAACTTAGACTCTGTCCAGACAAAGGGAACACCAAGGGATTCTCAAGAGGATTTAGGGATTTTTAAGGTACATGAAACTACAGAATACATACTTGTGTTTTTAGAGTGAAAAATAAATTACCATTATTTCTACATTAATTAAACTGTATAGACTCTGTTCTAGAGAGTGACACTGTTTATGTCCTCAGACAGGAAATGGCTGAGCCAAAATATTCTCATACTGTCCAACTGAAAATGAGAAATACAAGAAATCAAACGAGGCTGAAATACACTCAGGTGCACTCACCACAGCACAGCACATCGGCGAAAGACTGTAGCTGCAGAACCTTTGCTGCGGCTGGTTCTGGAAGCAAAGGTTTCTGAAGTAATTAGTGTAACTCTAATCAAGACCCCTTTCCTTTCCTTTTCCAGTGGCATTTCTCTTGAAAAGTAGCTTTTTCAGGTTACTAATTAAAGTCATGATCTAAATGTGCTTACTTCAGAGAGTTTTTAGCTAACTCAATAATAAAACAAGCAAATATTACCTATCAAAACTACTTCAAAAATCAATCAATGAATGTATGGAATGATGCTTAAATAATCCCACTTCCTATCTGGTACTTCTGTGGCAGGAAGGGAGGCATGCTATACAGGCTGTCTACAGATACCTACTGAGTTTCTATGTGGGGCTCAACTGATGCTTCTGATACCTCGTAATCTGAATAAATAAAAATACGTCAAGTCAGCTTTAAAACAACAAGTGGACTTTTCAACAGTTATGATGATAATCTAGGATAATTACAGTAACAATGAGAATCAAACCCCTCCAGTATCCCTTTTCAGTGATGTTTCTTATGAGGCTAAAGAAAACAAATACCAAAACAGTATCAGCAAATGACTGCGTTTCAGCCCTAATATTTTAAATGAAAGTGTATTAGGATAACTATACCTGTCAACCACATTAAAACATTGTACATTGATAATAGGCAATTTGAAGGTTTACACGTGATTTTTCAAAATGTCAGAATTAATGATCATAATTTAAATTCTAAATATGGGAACTAAAACAATAACAAAAATCCCAAAGCCAATAAATCTGTGTTTAACTCTTAGAACTGAAATGTGAATTTCCAAAATAACACAGTACTCACTTATATCAAGTTCCACCTTCACAACAAACTATGATACACAGCAACAGAGCCTAACCCCACCTCAAAAGCCAGCGTGTCTCTGGGGAGCCAGGCATTGTCTGGTAGGAATATATTCATTAAAAAAATAGTTAAAAAGAAGTCTGCATGCCCTTAGGAATTCTTTGTTTCTTTTTTTCTGTATAAAGTTATAAGGCATTAATAATGGCATGTTAAAACAAATAATTTATAATAAAAATAGATTAAAACTCTTTTAAAAATACCTCAGATGAGAAAAAAGACAGAAGAGATAATAAGTAACCACTCATGTGCTCTCTAAGCTTCTACTGAATACAGCTTTTGTTCTGCCTTTAAATAGATCTTAGACACTAAATGGAGGTGCCTTATATAAAGGTACACAGTGTAGGCCTGTCCAGTCACTAGGAAATTTACACACGAAGTGGGCTGACTGCTACTGACAAAGGCAGAAGTGGTTATTTAAAACACCTGGTATTATTAGTATTGACTGCAAATTACAATAGTTTCTGACAGGGCACGGACTGCAGCCTTGTGCCAAACAGCAGCAAAGCTTACACTACTGTGGTTCAAATGATGGTCAATGACCTGTCTAGTACACAGCTAAAATGAAGAAATGTGTTTAGAATGAAAATGTTAATAAGGAGCACAACTTTATTTTGGTATCAGTTGTTACAACTGAGCAATGGGTTTCTAGAATGCTCAGGACATTTCCCCGAAGGACAGGTAGAGGATGGATGGGGGCTGTGGTGGGGCTCCTGGCTGCTCTCTAGAATACATGTGTGAGCTCTACAGCAGCTACACAGCCTGGCTGGGCATCGGCTATGTGCAGAGGCTGCCTGAACAAGACGCCCTGCATCATGCAAGCGCTGCTGTCTGCTCTGCAGTAGTAGAGGAACACGCTGACAGAAACCACAGCTTCAAGGGACACGCACTCTGTGGGGATCCGCAGTGCAATCGTTGGTTGACTGGAAATGCTCTCTATGTCTCCGGATGGGATCTGCTCCTCAAGAAGCCACTCACTGCCTAGAAAACAGGAGAGAACATTATGAAGTCTGCAGGAAACAGAAGAGGCTGGGCACAGCTCTGGGCAAAGCACGGGCCACACAAGTGTGAGAACCAGAGTTCAGACCCCAGAACTCACCTAAATGCTGGGTGGACATGACACCCACCTGCAATCCCAGAGGACAGGGGGTAGGGACAGGGCATCCCCGAAACAAGCTGGCCAGTCAGACTATTAAGACAGTGAGCTTGGGCTTAGTGACAGACCCTTCCTCAACATTTTAAGTAGAGAGAGGTCAAAGGGGACACATGGAATTAACCACATGCACACACCTATACATATATGTGTACTCACACCATGTGGACACACTCACACACATAATATAACATACATTTGAAAAGATTCAAGTAGGAAACTAGAAAAGTCTAAGAAAAGACTCTTAATCCGCAGGTAATTACTGTGAGCCCGTGAGTGCCAGGCATGCGCGCTGTGGAAATGACACGCAGGGGTGAGACATAATGGCCCAGCCTGATGGTCACTGGATTTCATTAGTGCAGCGCTTCCCTTCTGTGAAAGCTACAAAACAAACCACAAAGTGATCTCTACAGAGGTGAAGCTGAGAACTGCATCTACGGCTCTTTGGATCCGCCACACCAGCGCAAAGTGCGTCTACTGTTGTCTAAAGGGGACGGTGGGACAGCAGATCATTCTCACCCAAGGGAAAAGTCTCCAGCGACACAGTCTGAAAACTACAGAACAAACTGCAGAGAATACAAACGTGTACACAACTCTGTAGTGACTTCTAAATCCAGACAAAGCAGTAATAAACTATTTTAATATGCAAGTCTAGAAATAAGATGCCAGCTATTTCTTTGTATATTTTTCATATATATCACATCTATGACTTAAGACAAAATGAGATGTTTGTAGTTCTTTAAAACATTTACATATTCTAGCCATTTTAACTATTTCTAAAGAACCAGCCACAAAGAGAAAATATCTTCTACCCCTACATGAAGACATGGGCTCTATAATACTTTCAGAATCTTTGAATTACTAGGATTCTTGCCTACAAGCTTATTTCCCTATATAGTAAAAAGAAGCCAATATTTTAGACAAAGAATGAAACATCTAAGTATTTGACTCTTTCCCTTTATAGGACAACGACTCAGAATTCAATGATCTGGATGTTTAAGATGCAACATTAAAAAAGTTAATTGTCGCCATGCCATGATGGCATACACCTTTAATCCCAGCACTTGGGAGGCAGAAGCAGGCAAATCTCTAAGTTTGAGGCCAGCCTGGTCTACAGAGCGAGTTCCAGGATGGCCAGAGCTATACAGAGAAACCCCCTCTTGAAGAGTCAAAACAAAACAACAAAACAAAACAAAAAAGGTTAATTGTCAATATTTTACTTAAAAAAATTACTGGTCTCTAATTACGCAGAGAAATTAAATATATGATCTGTGATCCCCAATTACAGGGCTGCTTTGTTATGTTATAGACACAGGCAGAGTAGCTAACCCTCCCTAGGCCCTCCTGGAGCCCAGAGAGGGGCTGTGGCGTGCCCAAGGTTTGCAGTCTGTCCCCACTGCTAGGCCCAAAGTCCAGGTTTCTTCTTTGTGGGGATCAGAGGAGGTGGTTTGCTCAGGCTCAGGGAGTCTCCTCAGGGCCAGTCCAGACTGTAACCAGCAGTCCACCTGCAGTCCCCTTGGCCTGGACACCACACTGAGAGCTGCAGACCAGCAGTTTCTGCCTGAGTGTATGAAGGTGAGCAGGCACGAGGCCAGGGGTGACACACACACAACAGGAAGTGTGTGAGAGGGTGTGGGAGAGAAGGAACTAAGGAAGTGGGGACTGGTGAGAACGTGGGAAAGAGCGTGGGAGACCAGGGCAGAGGAAGGCCATCCACAACAACAGTCCTGCTCTGAGAGTGAGCTCTGGACCCAGGACTGCAGTTTAGACCCGCTGTCCACTGTGGCACAACAGCTCTAACGGGGGACAGCACTAACAACAACAGGCAGGACACCGTCTCCTCAGGAGAGAAGGAAGAGCCGCCACAGGAAAAGATAAGAAATAAGGAAGCGCCACTTTACTTCTCCTCAGCAGACTTTCAATTTCTTTCTTATTCAATTTTTGGTTTTTTGACATTCTGTAGCCCAGATGGCCTGGAAATCACTATGGAACTCAGGCTAACCTCAAACTTGCAGTCCTCCTGCCTCAGTCTCCTGAGTGCTGGGACTGCAGATGAGTTTCAGTGGTTCTTTTGGGGACAAGAAGAGGGTGGCAGAACACGGCAACACACAGACAAATCTACTTCCCAGAGCCGTGGTGCTCAGAGATGGCAGGGCTCTCGTGGGCCACACCGTCTTAATGAAGGAAGGGGAATGGCAAAGGTCAAGAGAGAAACAGCTAAGTGGGGTTATAGCCAGACTCACGTTTTCCCCACAATTTCCCTCAAATCTTGCCCGAACACATAGTAAAATATGTAACAAGCCATCATCTCAAAGCCTAGGAATTTCTTCTCTGTGTGCAGGGCTCGGCTCATACCTTCAGCGGTGAGGAACCAGCAGCTGGAGACGCCTTCCGTCAGCTTCGCTCCTGGCGGAAGGTCTAGCTTGAGCTTGAGCTGCAGCGTCTGGCCAGGACACACAGTCACAGGGGCGAGCTGAATGTGTGGGGCAGACTTGGGCACCTTGGGTACTGTCTTCTGCTTCTCTGCAGGGAAGGGGCCGTCTACCACGGCACTGGCAGGCTTGTAGACCGGGAGCTAGAGGACCAGATGACGGACGAGTTATTAAAGCAGGACTTTTAGACCAAATTGAGAGAGCCTAGCCTTAGACGGGGCAGGTTCTCCATCAGTGACATCAGCTGCCACTAAAGGATGTTTCCCAGAGTACAGAGGAACTGTCCACCTCAGTAGCCAGATCACCTACAAGGACACACAATGTAACCAACTGTCCCATGGCTTACAAATGGCAGGAAATTAAAGCACCACTTACAAATTTAAGGACAGTGAGTATGATACACGCTCATGACCTTTGCTGCCAAGAGAAATCTAGATGATACTTTTGATGCCAATCTGTATTTTTTATTTAAAAATAAAACTCTTAAAAATAAAAGGCTGCCTCCCCACTCCCCAGGTAAATAGGATACACTAAAAAGCAATGGACAACAAACATTTCTCTTTGAAAATGGATTTGAACTTGGTTAAGTTTTCCCTAGTCTATCTCATTTTCAGAGTTTGGGAGCTGTGACTTCTAGAGGTTCCTCCAGAAGATGACTTGGTAATGGATTCACCACAGGATTCAGAAAGACAGCAATAACCTAAGGATCACTGGATAAAACGAGTCTGCACGGCACATAAATACGATGTGTGCCATGACTTCTACGCATTTAAAAACAGATCTGAGGCCTCTATTTTATTAAAGGTTCATCCAATTCTCTCCAAATTCCAGTGTCTTCCTCAAATGCTCAGAACAGATGGAAACTTGTATTTTAAGACTAACAGGATACCTTCAGAGCAAGTCCCTGGCCGGGCTGTCCCAGAACACAACAGGGACATCCACTTCCGCCTCCCACTCTCCATGTGCCAAGTGTGCAGCAGAGATGGCCAGGCCAATGCTTTAGCGTTCAGTCCCACCCTCAACCCCACATCCTCTAAGCTGTCGTAAGATAACTCACCACAGACACTGTCCTTGCTTCTAGATCCACCACTTTAATCTGGTGATTATTAGTGTCTGCTACATACAGCAGCCGACCACTGTCGCCGACACACAAGCCTCCAGGCTCGTTAAAGGCTGACTCTGCACTGTTCGCATCTCCGGTGCCTGCTAGCGTTGTGCAGACTTTTGTTTTTGGATCCACAACTTTAATCTAAAGGAAAAAGAACAAACGTTTCCCCTGCAGTCAGCCCTGTTTACAGCAGTGCCAGGGAGACCAGAGGACTCCCAACTGCCACCAGCATTCTCAATAAACAAATCTCACGACAGTAGGTATTTTCCTATTTTCCTAAAAATCATAACATTCAAATTATGTCATCGAAGGGAAATATGTCGTCCTGAGTAAAACCTTCCTAACATCTTAGTTATAGTATATTTTCTTGTTAATTCCAGGATTGTTTTCTGGAATCCACAGTTAACTGGCTCTCCTGAGAACACTGTCTGAGGATTGCTACTTTGTTAAATGGAAGGCCCTGCCAGTGATGGTCAAGTTTATGGTTGCTTATCACATGGCCCAGAACTCTGCAGTGAGAATGGGAACACCCGCATGGAAGAGGAAATGGTGCTGAAGATGGGTTTATTTGCTTGTGGTCACTGTAACCGTTTAACAGTTCAAAAATCTTCATCTGCCAGTGTCCCAGCTAGCTGTCAACCTGACACAATCCAGAGTCAACAGAAAAGGGAGCCTCCCCTGAGGAACTGCCCAGATCAGATGGCCAGTGGGCATGCCTGTGAGGGACTGTCTTGCTAAGTGATGTGGGGAGGCTCGTCCCACTGTGGGGAGCACCAATCCCTGATCAGGTGATCCTGGGTGATAGAAGAAAGCCAGCTGAGCCAGCTAGCAGGCCTGCCTTCAATTCCTGCCCTGACTTCCCTCCATGATGGACTTAACCGGGAGTGTGAGCCGGATAAATCTCCCCTTCTAAGCTGCCTTTGGTCAGTTTTACCATGGCAACAAAATGAAATTACACCAGCTGGCTCACACTTTCCCCTAACATGTCTCCTTATTTCCTGACTTGTTACTGAGCAGCTCTGATGGGTCACAATTCATACATTTACGTCAAAGCCACAGGAATTAGCTTAGCATTGTCCTCAGTTCAGCTATCCTAAGGCTCCGGCAAGAAAGACCCAGGAGAAGCTGCACAGGCTGAGGGCTCCAGTGGCTCTCTGTATTTTAGAGGGGCAAAGGTAGGAGGCACGTGGGTCGAAAGCAAGGGACTGTGTCTTTAGTCAAGACTCACCTTGTGATTATAAGAGTCTGCCACATAGAGCAGATTCCTCTTCTCGTCCCACGCCACCCCAAGTGGATGCTGAAGCTTCGCATTGATGCCTACTCCATCAATATCACCAAAAGCAAATAAATTCTTTTATTTTATTTTTTAAAGAGAAAGAAACAGCAGTTATTAAAAACATTCAGTGTTTTGTTAGATAAAGTGAAAACTAAGGTCATCGTGTCACTAAAGCTAACGGGGATCTCTGGTTTTCACGGCAGAGCTGGGCATGTGGTGCAGACTGGAGAGCCCCAGCAAGAGCGGCAGGCACTACCTATACCTGCTGTGTCACTCACAGCTGGCCAACATCTGGTCAGGAACAGGCCAAGTCTGCTAGTTAGAGCTCTTTCCAATCCACCGCTACACACCCAGTGCAATCTCTCTCTTCTCTCTCTTCTATCAGCAGCTACTTATCTTCTCTCAAAGGAAGCCTCAACAATTATGTGTAATCAAGCAGGGTCAGCTCCCTCTTCTTAGAGGGCTTTCCTTGTGTTTCCTTATAGTCACACTGGCTCTGGTTGGACTGCATTCTATCACAGACAGGCCAAGAATGAACCTCCTGAATGTCATGAATGACTCGCTATCCAGGAGACTGCACACAGTGACTTCTTTACCATGGGGTCGCGTTCTCCTCCGACAAGGTGCTTCACTGCTCCATCTTTGAGTGAGACGGTTCTCACTGTGCTGCTCTCGCTGTCTGCTACAAAGAGGCAGCTCCAGGGATCTTCGGAGGCAAGAGAGAGACCTGAAGGTTGGGCAAAACCCGCCTTGTGAGGATATGCATTGTTTCGGTTCTCTTCATTTCCACTCCCAGCAAAGCGAAGGCAGGTTCCTTTTTTGAGCTCACTAGAGACAAGCACAGGTGGGACCCAGTTACTAAAGGGACATAAATGACCAAAGTGATGGCGACAGCACAGTTCACCAGACCCCAGAGTGAGCGACGGCGGCGGCCTGTGCGCCACTGCATCTGTTCTGTCATTCTCGGGGAGCCGCCCCGCGGCGCTGCCTCCCTTCTCTTAGTACACTAACTACTGAAGCCACGCTCAAACACCAGGCTAAGAAATCCCTGGTTCAACAATGATCAGGTTATTACGAATAATAATGAGATGACTTATTCTCATTTTACTCATTTAACTTCTTAGTTTCATACAATATCAGGTTCTAGAAGGGAATTTATTAATAGAGACTGTCTAGTTTTTGATAGTTTGAAGTTCTAATTTTCTTTAAAAAGTCTGTGTCTTCTCTAAAGCAGAGAATAGTTTTAAGAAAGCCAGATTGAGCATGACCATTTTCAGAAAATGACATAATGACTGTACAGCATTAAACGATCAACTGTACAAAGCTATTTCTTCTAGACACTGGGCAACGTCTACTTAAAGTACTGCAGCCCAGGGCGCGGTGGCACACAGCTGTAACAGCTGCGGTGGCTGCAGAGAGCGCGGCTCCAAACCCTGAAAAGAAACACTGCAATGACTCCTTTTGTAATGCAGAGAGTTTACACCTTGATTTCTAAATTTATGCCGAAAGGATTATAGAGACATGGTACTGTGAGAATGAGAAAGCTGACTTCAAGTGCAGAGTGGGAGACTATGTGTACTCCATCTCCACATATAGCACATCACCCAGAAGTCCAATGTGACCGGCACACTGGACGGTACTTCTCAATGCTAAAGCAGGCAGAGCAGGGGATGGAGGGCAGCGACACAGACTGAATGATTATTCAAGGAACCCACACAAACTAGGAGGCCAAAGAATTATGTGCACACCTTGCACTGCAAGGGAGGAATGTACACATAAAGGATCCTGTGATGATGAACGCGGGCAAACAGTGACCCTGAAGCACAGGGGTCACTACTACCTGCAAGTCTGTATTAGACACCATCTCTGTAGTGACTTTGTATGTGGTGGTATTGTGTTCCCCAAAATATTGTGCACCCTAATAAACTTATCTGGGGTCAGAGAACAGACAGCCACTAGATACAGAGGCTAGAAAATGGTGGCACTCACACCTTTAATCCTAGCATTTCAGAGGCAGAAATCCCTCTGGATCTCTGTGAGTTCAAGGCCTCACTGGAAACAGCCAGGCATGGTGACTCACGCCTTTAATCCCAGGGAATGATGGCAGAAAGCAGAAAGGTATATAAGGTGTGAGGACCAGGAACTAGAAGCATTTGGCTGGTTAAGCTTTCAGGCTTTCGAGAAGCAGTTCAGATGAGATTCATTCTGGATGAGGACTCAGAGGCTTCCAGTCTGAGGAAACAGGATCAGCTGAGGAACTGGCAAGGTGAGATAACTGTGGCTTTTTCTGCTTCTCTGATCTTCCAGCATTCACCCCAACAACTGGCTTCAGGTTTGATTTTACTAATAAGAACTTTTAAGATTCCTGCTACACAAAACTGAGATGCTGATCAATGTAACTTGAGCAACTGTTTTCCTGTAACAGTGACAACCCTTCTTACGAGGAGACGGAGGCAGCCCTGACAGCATATTCTGGCTGCTGTTCTGATTACACCTCATGTACCACTGTAACCTTACTGCTCACGTCACTATCGTCTCTGCCTGGATGACAGCTATAGCCTCCTGAATCATATCTTGCTCCACTCTGAACTCTAGAAGAGTTCTTTCAAGAATACAGATCTAACTATGTCACTTCCTAGCTTAAAACTTTCTATATCAGCTTTTGGGATGTTCAATCTCTTAGAAGGACTCAAGGTGTGACATGACCTGATGTACTTGAAAGACCTCCACTACAGAAGTCCCCCATGACACTTCAAATCCTGTCGAGAAAACGCTCAGCATGAAGGACTACTTCAGAGGTTCTAATGACACACGATTTCTGCATTTTTCATTGTTTGCTGATCTAATTCTTCCGGGGCTGGGAATGACTTCATTTTATCTTTAACAGAGAACATCATTTCATCTCTACAGTGCCTAGTAAAAGTATATTTAACAAATGTTTTAGAGCAGTGGTTCTCAACCTTCCTAACGCTTCTACCCTTTGATACAGTTCCTCATGGTGTGGTGACCCCAACCACAAAATTATTTCCGTTGTTACTTCATAACTTAATTTTGTTGCTGGTGTGAATCACAGTGTAAATATCTGTGTTTTCCAACGGTCTTAGGTGACCTCTGGGAAAGGGTCATTAGACCCAAAGGGGTTGCGGCCCACAGGTTGAGAACCATTGTTTTAGATGTGTGCTTGTCATAAACATTACACAACTGTGTTCCACACCCACCTAGGACATCTGAGATCTTGATTTGCTAGACAGTCGTCCCTTTCTACTGATAAAGATAGCTGCAATGAGCCCAGCAGTGTGGCACAATTAATCCCAGCACTCGGGAGGGAGAGGCAGACAGATGTGTGAGTTGGAGACCAGCCTGGTCTACAGAGCGAGATCCAGGACAGAGAAGCCCTATCACAAACAAGCAGACACAGAACTGTGACGGCTAGCCCTACTTTCATGGTTATATAACAACTTTATGGTCTATGATTCTGTCTGGTCAGTTTTGTCAGCTTGACACAGCTGGAGTCATTTGAGAGGAAGGAATTTCAACGGGGAAAACTCTTCCATCAGACTGACCTGTGGCCAAAGCTGTGGGTCATCTTCTTGACAGATGACTGATATGAAAGGGCCCCGCCCACTGTGGGTGGGTGTAAGAGAGCAAACGGGGCCAGCCAGTAAGCAGCGTCTCCTCAGAGTCTCTGCTGAGCCCCTTCCTCAGGCTCCTCCACAAAGGACTACAACCTATAGGCCAAAAGAAACTCTTCTTCCCCACGCTGCCTTGGGTCATGGTGTTGATCACAGCGATAGAAACCTCACCAGGACAGACTTTCATCCATTTGCTTATTCTAGAAGCTTTTACTGAGCTGTTATGTCCCAGATACAGTACTAGGCACAGAGGACACAGTAATTATGAGACAAGGCTCCTTTCTTTAAGAGGTAGTCTAGTAAGAAGAAATAGTTAAAAACAGGCATGACCCAAGCCAAGAGAGAGGCGGGAGAGAAGGCACACAGTGAAGCCACAGAGGAGAGTGTGGCCGGCACTGCCTGAGGCTGAGGGAGAAGAGGGAGACGGAGGGACGCAGCAGACAGTGCTGCCCCATCTTCACATGCCCAGCAGCGGCAGCACAGACCTGTGCTGACTGTACGTGCCAATGCTATGCTAGCCTCTTCACACGGCAAGCCCACGAGGTGACGCAACACACAGCGATGGAAATGACGGAGAGCTGAAGGGCTCTCCTACGCTTACACAGTACGGAGCAGCTGGGATTCCACTTGAGGCCAGAACACACCTGAGTGCAGCCACACGGCCATGCAGCACTCACCCACCTGAAGGAGTGACTACAGACACCTGAAATATGTCCATGTTGCAAAGAATTAGAGCCCCACCTAACATTTCTAGCTCTCCTGCACAGGCTCAGAAGAATGGCTCCCCCAGGCTCTTAGGAACTAGATGCAGCCACAAGCCTTCACCGTGGCTGATGAAACAAGTCCAAGTGATGTATGTCATTTCTGAGCAGCAGCTCTGAGAGCCAGCTAGTGACTCACCACCTCCACCACCTCCTCCTCCTCCTCCTCCTCCTCCTCCTCCTCCTCCTCCTCCTCCTCCTCCTCCTCCTCCTCCTTCTCTGCGAAGGGCTGGCAGAGCCCCGACAGCAGCTGCTTCCTCAGCCTGGGGACCAGTGCCCAGTGAATCGACACAAGTGAGGAGGAAACCCTGCTCCAGGCTTTTCTATGGTGTGTGGCCAGCACATCCTGGCAGGTACAGCAGGTGTTAGGAGGACGGTGACTGGGGAAGGGAACCCGACGAGGCATAGCCATGTACCTTTTCTTTGGCAGTGTGCCAGAGTCCAGAAGGAGTGCCCATATCTGATGAGTCCCGGCCATGGCTATCCACAGGATGTCATTCCTTTGGACCGCTGAACCTTTATAAAAATAAGTATTATAGACACATCTGGTTAATATGACATTTAATTCAGAAACTGAAATTCACTGGATGATACTAGTTTTTATAAATCAGCTGTTCTGGAAAATGATCCTTAGTGAGAGATCTGGTCTTCAGAATCATCCTTTCACCTGCAACAATTTCATGAGAACTCAAAGTCGTCATTTTTTTTAATTAAATGCAGTACAGACTGATAATTCAATACATGTTTACAAAGTGTAATGATAAAATTGAAGCCATTAGCATTTCCATTTCCTTAAACCAAATCCACACATTCTTAATAGCAATATGTCAATCTGCATCTCTGGAAACAATGTTTTTAAACACTGATTTAAAAAAAAATGATGTGACACAAAAAACAGGCTGACATCCTCCAGGAAAATTCGGGCAATTTCTATGAAAGAAATGATGCTTTTCAGAGGTGGCACAAGCCTGCAGCCCCAGAGACTGGGAGGCAGAGGCAGGAAAGGCTCAATTGGGAAGCCTGTCAGACTACATAGAAAGTTCCAGGCAAGCCTGGTTTACAAAGTGGAGACCCTGTGTTAAAATAACAATAAGCAGAAGTTAAAGGAATATGTCTTTGTATTACCATGATAGGAGATTTGCGATTCAGACACAAAGAACAGTCATTTATACATCCATTTGTCTAGCTGGTTATAAAATGTTTGGGAGTGTGCACGTGTGGACGTGGAGGCTAGAGGGTAATGTCCAGTATCTTCTTCAATCATGCTCTACTCTACTTATTAGACAGGGTCTCACTAGACCTGGAGCTCACTGATTTGGCTAGGCTGACTGGCTACTAGAAAGTCCTGTCTCAGTCTCCTAGTGCCATGGCCCTGTGGCCGGGCTTTTATGTGGGTGCTGAGGATTGAATTCAGATCCTCACGCTGCATGGCAAGCCCTTTACCAACTGAGCCACCTCAGCCCTGGTTTTTCAGACCAAGAGTACAATATTTTATAATACAGCTGTTTACCACCACTAATTTTACTGTTCTATTTTTAGACACTGAATGATGTCACACTTATTATAAGGGAACAAAGCTCTATTTCTCAGATTAATTGTGTTACCTTATTTAATTTAACTAGAAGGTATTCTGAAGTAACCGAGACATTTTAACTAAAGTAGTCTGGTAAGACATTATAAAAGTTATTTTATTTGTAATCTCTCTAACTTCAAGTATTTTGTGATGAGAAGGGTACTTTTTCCTTAATTAGTAATCATTTTTAAGTGTCTTTCAGTTTAGTAACAACAAAGACAACCCACAATGATGTCTCTCAAGTAATTACAGATGCCATGGAGTCAAGCGCTTCCCAAAAGCTCACTCCAGTTTTCTGAAAGGCCCCTGAGCTGAGTGAGCACTGTTAGAAAGCCAGATGAGCACAAAGAACAGAGAAGTCAGCATGCCAGGGCACCAGCTCGCAAAGGCCAGGACAAGAGACAACGCTGTGCCCCAGCCATGACATGCTGATGCCCTCTCTGTTCTTGACGGCTACACAGTAGAGAGTATCTCGGTTTACTTCCTTCCTACACAGTCATGTCTGCAGACACAACTGTACTAGAGGGGTCACTGCTGTCCGTGGGTGACAGGGACTCAATCTCGGCTTTACCATTTTAATACACCAGATCAAAAGAGCTGCACAGTGAATTTTTAATACACCGCACTGCTCCTTCAGTCACTCTAGGGCTACTCTCTGGGACTACCAAAATGACTATGTCATCTAAGCTAATAAAATATTCCACTATTTCAGACAGAATGACATTCAGATGAAAAGGGCTCCTAGGCAACACTACTCAAATGTCAGCCGTGGTCACCATTTCATGAATCCGGATCTCACCTTTACGGCACGTTACACCAGGCAAGCACAAAGGCACCTACAAACTCAGAAGCCCTAGGGCGATGGCACCGAGGGTAAAGAGTGTGACACAGTGTCTCCCACGTAAGTTTGTTAATGCGCTAGTAAGCACTGACTACCACTGTACCACAACAGATGATACCCAGCAGTGCACTCAGTTTACAATGCTCACTGTGTTAAAGCCGTCACAAATCTAAGACTATAAACTTGTCATATCAAACAATGAGAATGAGTTCATGCTCATGATTAGATAATAGTATTATTAACTAAGGAAATGAACAACAAAATAAAACAAAAGCTTCAGTAAGTAATATAAACAAAAGGCACAAGTGAATAATACTTTTACATAATGGGGGATGTTTCCCACTCATGACATTCCAAAGCCTGTATTTATCCAATAATACGTTAGACCAACACACGAAGAGCTGTAGATAATTATAGTCTGAAGCCCACTACTAAGCCCTCCTAATTCTCTCTGAATGGAACTAAATTATGCACCTCGAGTTTGTGACAGCCTCCAAACAAGCATCCCTTCATGGCTGAGGAGCCAAATAGTTCAGGATTTGAATACTGGCTGGAATTTCTGCCAAGTTTCCTCACCTGTCGAGCGATGGTATGACTGCCCATCTCAAAAGATGACCAAGAGGACAAGCACAGGCCCTGGAAGTGAAGAAGCACCATCGCAGTACCGGCAGGAAGTGAAGCACCATCGCAGTACCAGCAGGAAGTGAAGCACCATCGCAGTACCAGCAGGCGCTGGGTACTAGACAACATCCTGGCTTTCAGCCTGCACCAACTATGCTCCTCTTTCCTTCGAGGACTCTCACCCTCAGCCCCTCAGTGGAACCCCACTCTGACTTCTTTCTTGCTTCCCTCCCCTACGCATGAAAACACACACACACACACACACACACACACACACACACACGCGCGCACACACACACACACACACACACACACACACATACACACACACAGAGTTCGGTGCCTTGTCACCTTGCCTCACAGTTCTGTGTGGCACTTGTCACCATCCTACATGCTACGTTTGACTGCTTACTGCTCTCCTCCACTCAGGACTTCTAAGAAGGCGGCGGTGGTGGTGGTGGTGGCGGCGGCGGCGGCGGCGGCGGCAGCAGCAGCAGCAGCAGCAGCAGCAGCGCTGTTTTATTCAGCTTCTTGGCCAACGACTAACACAGTGCCTTCCCATACTAGACGCTCAGCAAATACCTACTGAGTAAGTAACCTTTCCCCGGACAACAGCAGAAAATAGTCTCATTTTCCAGTACATCAGCAACCCTGAAGTCATCCTAATGATGGCTGAGGTTTCCTAACACTGCTAATGATTTGTCTCTAATCAAAGAAGCTGCTATAAATGCAAACCTGTGCCAATATCCTCCAAGATCACCACAATGAAGGGAGATTTGCCCATGAGACAGATTTTACCTTGTATGGTAACCAAGGTCATGCCAGAATATTCACAGAATGAATTCTTATTTTATTATAAATTACTTCTACTTCTTTTTCTATTTTAAAGGCATGTAAATGTAGTTGGATTATATATCTATGATTTCAGTTTGATTTTTCTCAGATAATTTACAATGGAGCTAGGCTTAGGTCTCACAGGGCTGAGAATTCTCAAGTTACATATGGAAATACAGTCTTTCAATACTTTTTAATGTTTCTAGTCATAAAAACTCTGAGCAGCCGGGCGGTGGTGGCGCACGCCTTTAATCCCAGCACTCGGGAGGCAGAGCCAGGCGGATCTCTGTGAGTTCGAGGCCAGCCTGGGCTACTAAGTGAGTTCCAGGAAAGGCGCAAAGCTACACAGAGAAACCCTGTCTCGAAAAAAAAAAAAAAAAAAAAACAAAAAAAAAAAACAAAACAAAACAAAACAAAAAAAAAACTCTGAGCAAACTAAGATCCTCAGATAATCTATTTAATTTGATAAAGAATATTTTCCTAAGAATTGATAGCAAACATCATGTTTAATGATGAAACACTATGAACACACTCCTGCCAACAGAAATGAAATAAAAAAACAAAAACAACAACAAAAACCCTATCATTACCTCCATAGAACATCATATGAAGGCCTAGCGTGTGTAACAAAGCAAAAATGCAAATATTAAAAATGAAACTGCAAGTATCAGCAGGTGACATGACTGTATATAGAAACTGCCAAGGAATGATTAGAATTCTAAGTAAGTTCAGCAAGGTTAGGGATGCGATCAGAGAATGAACTCTCTGCAGACTGACAGAGCACGTTTGTAACGGTGCCAGAAAACACCTCACAAATATACACCTACCGAGAGATCATGTGCCCTCTTCACCAGAGTCACCACTGTGGGACACTACGAACAGTCTGGCTCTCTGGCTCCCATTTTGTTTCTTGGGTTGTAAGCCCTGCTATCACCCTCCTTGACACCTTGTCTCACAGGCCACATACAATTCACTAGCAAATTCTGGTGGCTCCTCATTTAAAATGACGAATTGATCAGTCTAAGGCACCATCAGGGTGACTCAAGAATGACATCTCAACTGACTCGTCACCCTGTTCACACCTAAGGATAGCCCGTTTTTTTCGCTGGGTATGTGGAGCACACTTGTGATCCCAGCACTCAGGGAGCTGAGGCAGGAAAATCACAGAGTTTAGGAAACACAGCCAGTTCCAGGCCAGTCTGTGCTACACATGCAAGACCCTGACTCCAAACAAACAAAAAGGAAAGAGAACCGTGACACAGGAGAGGTGAACCGCTAGACGGGTGAGTCAGGCAAATGTCACTGTCAACTTCAGCAGTCTTTAGAGCCTGTCCTCGCAGAGGAGAGCTCTGCTGGTGCCCGTCTGACTGAAAGATCCACGTGGCCCCCCTCTGCTGTCTGGTTCTCTAAATGGTCAGTGTAGCTCAGGTAGTTTACTACACACGCACAGGTAAGAGTGTGCCTGCCGGAGTGCGGGAACTCGTCTGCTCTTGGCCTGCACACTCACTTCCTTTACTACACACACCCAGGTAAGAGTGTGCCTGCCGGAGTGTGGGAACTCGTCTGCTCTTGGCCTGCACACTCACTTCCTTTACTACACACGCACAGGTAAGAGTGTGCCTGCCGGTGTGGGAACTCGTCTGCTCT